GTCTAGAAGATGCCCGATGATCGTTTCCAAGTGCGCAGGCACTGTCGGGTCTGAAGACAGCAAATTGATCGCATCTTGTAATCCGTGATCTTCGCTTTGCATGGTTGGAGACGCATCGAAATTCTTCCGTGATCGCTTCGTTCCCTGAATGGTCGAGGCAGTGGGGGTTTCCATCAGTTACTAACACCCAAGGAATGACCTTCTAAGGTGGCAAAAAGAATGAAACGAAAAATGGCTCCTGCCACGGGAAGCCTCACAAAATTCAACCAGAGAGATGATTATCGATGATCACGTGAGTGATCGATGGCCGACAAAATAGCGGTGCACACAAAAATCGAGAAAACTGGAAAAATAGACCTGGTACGGTGGCTTAGCAACGAGAAGCAGGGGCCCCAGCCACAAGGGCTACAACTCGGAGAATAAGTAGAGATAGTAGCAGCAATGAACAGAAGGCGAGGCCAAAGTTCAAAAGTTGCGACAAAGCCCTGTGAACACCGCCGCTCGCTGTGGGTGCACCGCCAAAACCCACCAACTTCAGGTTCGAGTCTAGTGGTTACTACATGATTCTGTATTTGAATTTCCACCTTCTTCACAGCATAATCAATAACACTTGAAAGAGCTTCAAAACCACTTCATTCCCTTCATTTATTTTCTGAGTGACGAGTAAATTGGATTTTAGGCTTGAGAAGTGAGGTACACAATCTTTAGAAGCTATCGAAATCACGCTCAGGAACAAGGAAAATGGGAAAGAATTGAAATGAAAATGCTAAATCTAAAGAGTTGGTCCGCTATGTCAGCTGTGCTGTGGCGATGAAATAGTATGGTGAGGGAGAAGAGAGGAAGGTGAGAGAACACACAAAGTATTCGTCTGACTTGAATAAGAACATCATTAGTAATGAGGCTTCACGGTTTTCTGGAAAAACCAAAAAGTTTAAGGTTTCGTGAAAATAGGTCAAATCCAGGGGCTGAGCAGGGAGCGAGGGCTATTCCAATTATCAACATTATTTCAGTCGCTTAACATGAACTTGCTTTTTTAAGAAAGAATGTGTGGCAGCGATGAAACACGAGGGGAGGATACAGCTCGAGTCTCAGGACTGTTTGGAGATGCGAAAGGTACAAGTCATGAATTCTTCAGAAATTAGATTATTTCAACAGATTCTTCAGCTGTGATCTGCACTAATGTAGGAAAATTTCCAGTTTTGAAAAGTCTTCAATCCTTAACCCTATACTTTCGCGAAAACTGCTACTGTTTACCTTTATCAATTATTCTGCCAGATGGTCGACTCACCGTGCATAGTAGAATCTGTTCCTTATCGTCCACGCCCATGTTGTAATCTACTAACAGTTGATTATGCGTTCTGCTTCATTGCTGTGTGAGAGCAGGAAGCTAAGTGACCATATGCCTTAGGATCGAACTGGTGTGGCCTTTTAACACGTTGACGACATCGCGCGTTTTGTGTTTTTGCACCGCGTGGGACCAGAGCGATTTTGCGAGCGCCGCCGCCGCACACCAAATCCATGGATTTTGAGCTGTAAATACGCAATACTTAGATGCGATGAAGTGTTTTCAATAATGTTCGATCTGTCTAACTTATCGGGAGTTACAGTAATGGAAGTTTGACCGAAATGACGTGTTAAGGCCATGAAAAGGCAAATTTTACTTACTTTCCCTTTAGTGGTTCCAAAATTAATTTGGACGTGGTTGTTTCAGTAAAAACACATATCTTCCCATACGAATAGGTTTGTATTCACTTCTATTATTCCTTTTTATCAACATGTTTACGTTAATGAAAAGAAAACGAGGAATGAACTGAACAGACATATCCGTAAGGTCTGGAAAACCTCTGCCAAACTAAAGAATATTTGGCCTTTCTGTGAGCCATGTGGTTTTAAGTATGCTAATGTATGGCCTATAGAATGAGTACAAAGACCTTAGGAATAAGTCGCGCAAGCGCAAGAAAAAGGGATGACTTGGGTGGGACGCGTTACCGCGTCACAATGTCCCACGAGGTGCGCAAAGTGGGACGCGTTACCGCGTCACGCTGTCGTCAACGTGTTAGTACGGACGTACTAGTGCGAAATTGCCCGGCTGTGAAGAAAAAGGCACGGAATCAGTCGGAAACGCCAATACTAATAAGTGCACACCTTCGTAATGCGCCATGCTAAGGTGATGAGAGATTAAGCGGGAAGGGGAGGAAATGTTGCGAAAGGGCACCAGACAATAGTCCGATGCGGACGGGAAAATTGCTGGTCCTGTACTGAAATTGGCATGCCTTAGCGCCTTTGTCGAGCAAGTCATGCACAAGAGCTTCACATCTTGGATTGCGCTCTGAGCGTCTGCACTGTAGGGCGAAGGGGAACGTTTGCACGACTTCTGCATGGATATACGTTCAACATTGCCTTTCGTTCCTCAAAGCAAAACTTGCATGAAACAGTAATGCTCATTGCACAGCTGTACCGATTTGATTATTTCACTGCTTAGTAGCAGAGATAGGACACATGCCCACCACGAAAAAAAATCACGAGTGGTGGACTAAACATGTCAGTTATTCTCGTTCACCCAATCGATTCCTTAAAGGAGGATTCACGATAAGAACGAAGGTCGAAGAAGGGAAATTGCCTAGTGGGAGACAGGCGGACCTCCTGAGGGTGCGGACCGACGCGCAATTGGCAGCGAAAGATTTGACCTCGGCGATCTAGCATGGCTCACTCTTGGCGCGGTTGGCGGGTACGCCCACTATCTAATCACTCGCCGCAGGTCTATACGTGGCGAGTGATTAGAGAGTGTTAGCGTTGAAGAGGGCACAGCGATGAGAGTCGCATCAATGCTCAAATCAACGGGCAAGGAAGGGGTCCCATTTCTCGGGTTCTGGGCCGTTTCTCATGGTTCTTCCTTCTTTCGTGTACCACTCACCATCCCTAGTTAATTTGAAATGGGTTGCTTTTCATCGTGAATTCGTCCTTTAATCACGCAATTTCATATTCACATCACTTTGCCTGCAGAGCTACGCTATGACTTCATTTATTTTTTTCATTCATAAAAATACAGCTTACTATAGATTTATTTCACTAAAGCAAATTAATTGGAAATTTTCACAGGCAAAGTTGATTTAGGATTGAGAGAGCTGGAGAAACGCAACTCAATCGATTTCTTAGGACTGTGCCTTGATGGCACAGTTGCTATCTATATGGAGATACTGCAGTAGAGGTAGTCTCAACGATGTCATCACCAAGGGATCGATGTCAATGGACAGTATTTTTGTATTCTCACTCATAAGAGATGTTGCAAACGTATGTATGCTTTCTGCTGTCCTACCTATTCAGTCAATTTTTCAACTTTTACTTTTTCTCGATTCGAAGTCGACGATAAGGACAGAGACCGCGATGAATACACTTTTGGGAAATTGTGTTAGAAAGGTTAAAGAAATGTCCAAAGGAACGTATGTGGCGCCTTTGAGGCAAATAGAGCGCCGTTATAAGGCCGACGCCAAACGATGCGCTAGCGAATCGCTCGATTCGCAAACAATGACACCGGCCTAGGATGGAGGTAGCTTCGATGGAACCTTCTTGTCTCAGATATGCACACCGGCAGCACCAAAAGCTTATAACAGGAACGCGCTTGAAATGGAAGCCCTCATGGCCATGGTTGGAGATTCTTTTTAAGTGCATAGTTGCATGGCCATCGAGGCAGCAACTGCCTAGCGATAGCCGTTGGCTGATGTCACAATATTGGATCCAGGCGACCTCTGTGTTAGCGGTAATGTTTCATACTCCTATAATCGACGGCCAGAAAAATGGACTCGTATCACGGGTGTTCAGCCATCTGGTTTTTTATTTTTTGAATATGTGCTACTTGACGCATCTGCTCCTAGCGTCGGCACGAATGCCTGTGAGGATAGCTATGTAGTTACAGCTCTTAGAAAATTTCTAGGGTTTCCTTTTATTGCAAAAACGATGGCTGCGGTGACAAAAAGTTTAGGCGTTTAGAGGAGGCGCTCAGCAGAAACTTATTGCAAAATGTTTCACAAGAATGCTGGGTTGTGAACAAAACTTTCGCCCCAGGCGGGACTAGAACCCGCACCTCTCGCTTTCCGGGCAAGTGCGCTACCAGTTACGCTACCGGGGCACCATTTCATTCCAACTCAGCTTTTCATGGTATACGTACCATAGCTTTCAGCACTCACACGTATAACGTGTTGAGCCGGTTAGCCGATATCGGCAATGACCGCGAGGCTGAAAGCTTTAGCAATGAATTTTGATTTCAAAATTTTCGCGCGAAAGTTGCTGCTAATGATTACCAGAAAGTAGCTCACTGAACTGTAACTATTAGGTTGAGCGAAAGTTATCCGCCATTTTTTTTGTCTGATCACAAAACGAAAACGCTCATAAGTTTATCAATAACACCGAACAAAAACAACGACAAATGATCAATGATGAAACGTCCTGAACAGAATTCTCTGCAACCGTGTAAAGCCAAGCTCCGTCATTTTACGAGCGGGTGCAGCAGGTGTAAGCTTCATAGTGAAGCAAATGCATTATATTTATTTAATGCAGTTTGTTCACCAAAATGCACAACAGGTTAGGTGCTCTCTGATTACATCATGATCTCAAAAATGATCACCAAATAATCAATCTGTCATGAGCCTGAAAAAAATGAAAGATTATTTTTGCTCAAGCTGATAACTTGATAACTGGTTTCCCTCATCCCGTCTTCCCGTATTTTCCTCGTACCACACTTTACCAGATCTCTTATTCCAACCAAGAGGTTCTCCTCGAAATGTTTCTTGGAGAGCATTAAAAACGGTCAAAAACTCGTTTTTCATCCTTCTATAATACAATAATTACAAGTCCATCTTACTGGCCATACATTTTTGGTCGGAAAATGATCCACGGTTTTCATGCTGTTATGCTTCTTGAGATGTCATAGGGCCTGGCAGTCATTCATCACTCGAGTTCTTGGAATATCATGAGGTTTTTCTGACATCCAAATGTTGTGTGGTGGGACGTTGCAGCGAAGGTTTTCCGGCCTACGGACCTTAGAAAGCTGCGGTTGTATGATAAGCGCATGCCACAAGGTAGGTGTCTTGTATGCAACAGCATTTAACGTTTACCTGTGTTTTTAGGATTACAGGAACTTTTTGAAGACAGTTATATACTCTGCAACAAATACACACTTTCTATCATATTAAAATATTGCTTGCCTTACTGTGTTGCTCAACGATCCGGAAAAGTTACCGAGGAGAAGATTTCTCGTTTTCACTTCTTACGATTTATTTCTTCGACGTGTTTATGACCTTCAAGCAGTCGCCGTCCGTTTGCAATACTCGAACATCTGCATATTCGAGCGAGGGCCCTCGAGTGATTTATGATTATGAATGGTTGGCCGGGGTCGCTTTCAGGAGTTTGCGAGCGCGAATGTTTCAGTTGGAGAATATGCGAATGCAGTAGGTAAAGGGAGTCAGTGTAGTTGTGCACTGGCTCGGAGTCGAATACCTATAGCCATTCATGATGGAAGAGTGGGTGGCGACGGGGTCGGAGTTAGCACTATGTAGTGTTTGGCTGGGGTCTCTCGAAACCCTGGAAGGGATAGGAGTCGCAATCTCAAAAAATCACAAATGGACGATTTGAAACCATGCTTCGAAAGGGAGGGCTTGTCCCTCTAAAATCTCTGTCGGCTCGTACGAGGAGGTTTCCTGTTCGACAACTCGAGAGATCGTCTCGCTCCACCGCGAGTTTCAAGTACGCAACACATCTCTAAGACGAGCACTGCCACACTCCATATTCCGAGAATTGATGCCGCCGAAGAGATGGAGCGCACTACGGGGAACGATTGTGGGCAGCCTGCGTTGCGCAGTTCGCAACGGCACGTTGAGAGATCCTCAACGCACGCTGTATGGGCGGAGACGCAGACGGCTCGAGCATGCGAGTGTGAATGTTCGCGCGAGAGAACGTGTCTAATCGGGCGAAACTGCGCAACGTGGCCGTTGAAAACTGCGCAACGCAGGGTTGACTCTGTTGTGGGATTGTGAGGCACATGATTGAGAAACAGCGGGCTATCGCAGTGTAGTTACTGCGTTGGTACTAATCCAGTCTACGTGAATACAGCTCACTGCTTCACTTGAAATCGGGGAATCGTACAGCAAATCGGTACGGAGACTATCTTCTGTTTATTATGTTATGCAAGCTGCAGTAAGACAAAAGCATCCTATTTTTTTGTCCCGGTCTTGGGTAACAACCATATTCAAGTTGAAGGACTCGTGAAATCGCAACAGAAACTCCGGCGATTTTTCTTTGCTTAATGGCTCGCTGTCAGCGGAGCCACTCTTAGTAGATTGATTTCTGGAGTCAACTTTCCCACTGAGGTTCTGCGCGCTTTTTTCGCTTTTTTTGCGTGTTTTTTTTGATCATTTTGAAGTCATCTTGTCTTTACAGTTTGCGTTGGAGAACATCCAGAACATGACTGGGGCAAAACTTTTGCCCCAGTCGGGACTCGTTCCCGGATCTCTTGCTTTCCGTGCATTTGTGCGCCACTTACAATGTTTTGCTCACATATCGAGTCTTTAATTGATTCTTTAATGCACACAATTGCCCCATTATTTATTGTACTTGGCGGCAGAAAGTAGCGCACCTCCTAACTCAAATTTAGCGCACTGAGTAACTTTTTCGGTTCGGGGAAGAAGTACGAAGAATCGGGGTTTATCAGTAAGGCCGGCTTGTATTTTGTAGTCGATGCTGTGTTTTTCTATGTTTATTTTCTGCATTCATTTTTCAGACTTGTTGTGGACTGCACCCGAGATATTGCGCAAGGATGACTTTGTTGGTTCTCAAGAAGCTGACATTTACAGGTACAGTGCCTCCGTATTACCTACCAAAGAGTTAAAAAAACTGGGTTGTTGTAAGATGAGGTACAGGCGCGCAAAATTATTTTTATTGGTAAATAATAATTAAGGCTATGGAGGCAAGGTTATTAAGAGGTCAACACAAAGCAGCTATTTCTAATGACTGAATAAGATGAAAAAGAAAAAAACCCTTACAAGGGAATGCTTTAAACTTCCCGTGGAAATTTGAAAGAAGACCCTGGGAAACTATGAAACTGCTACCGTGATTTTCAAGAAGGTTGTGAGCCTATTAATGTGGGCCAGAAAACGGCACCCAATTCATGCGAACAGTTTAACCACCGTAGACAGCCGTGCGTAGCGACGGCGCCTGGTAGAGGCCTTTTGCAGGCGGCTGTGGTCCTGTGTTTCTGCTCCGCGACGGGAGGCGGGAGTTTTGCACCACTGGTTCTCTACCGCAAGGGCGTTACTCCGATTTCTGACTTCCTTTCCTCCACTAGTATTTAGTTAATCGACCCCCCCCACGTACGCTTGTCAATCTAATGTCCTCGAACGGGTGGGGTAGCTTATTGGTAAATGTATTTACTTCTGCACCATCGAGGGAATAAGATAGTAACTACAAACAAACAAATGGAGACCTCATTCAACACTGATGAACCGCGACGCAAAAAGATGTGAGAAGAAGACGTGTTGCTCGCAAATTGCGCATCTTATTGATGCTGCCTCCTACCAGCCATTGAACAAAAAAACGTCTCCCGCGTCAAACATTTGAACTACCCGCCTTAATAAGGCGCTTGTTTGAATGAACGAAAAAATTGGAATAACAGCCCTTGCTAGGTACGAAAAACAAAGTGCAAAAACGTCTTCGGTCGAGAGCAAACCACGACCAACCGCCTGCAGAGTGAGAGTTCAACCTGCGCCGCCGGCTGCACCCTCGCTAGGATTAGGATGTTCTCATGGATTGGCTCCCATTTAAGCCAACTTTGAACTCAAGAAAGGTCATCGTGGCAGTTTTTAGATCCTTTGTGTAATCGCTGTTCAGACCTCTATCTGTGTACGCTAGGCCTTTTTTCAAAGTTCCATGGGAAATTCAAAGCATTTCCTTGTTAGGACACTGAACAGAAGCATTTTGCAAGCAGTTCGGTGTCGAATAACATAGACACATTGGGCGCCGTGGTCAGCGACTAGACTCTCAGTGAAGAGAGCAAATGCAAGCCCTCAAATTATCAATGGGTGAGAGAGATGGTATAACAATCATTCGTTTCGCGTTGTTTCTTTTGCAACGAATGATTTGCAAAATGCATAAATATCCTTATTATTTTATGAACGCAATCTTGGTGTGGTCGGTTTGCCATGTATGTCTTTGTTTGTATGTATGTCTGTCTGTATCTGTGTGTCCGTCCGCAAAATGAAAAGGGTGATAAGGCGGCTAATGGAATAAACAACGCTCAACAGAATCGAGTAGCTCGCAGGACTTGAGCTATAAATGTTTGTAATAGGATAACTGTGATAACACCCCTACGGCTAAAACCTGAACCTACTGAGCACACTTCCGGTCACATGGTGCTGCAGTGGCAGCTGGAGGGCAGTGGAAGGGAGGAGGGGAGATGTGCACTCCTTTGTGTTGCATGCGCGTCACCTCCACGAGATATTGGTGTCACAGATGGGAGGATCCACAGCGGAAAATGGAAGCGTTAGACGGAAGTCTCAGGCTGGTACAACGGAGGGACAAATCTCGTTACAAACGTATTCTAACAAGGTCTATGTAATTGGCACAACATTTCCATTTCCATCGTTTTAGTTTCGGTATCATCTGTGCTCAGCTGGTTACAAAATCTTCAGCATGGGATTTGGATAATCGAAAAGAAGACGCTTAGGTAAGCATATGGCAGTTGTTGTAAGTGGAGCAAAATCGAAACATACGGATGCTAAACGCCCCATTTTTTTGAGAGTACTTATTATGATAGATCAGTGGAATAACTGTGCCTATCCATGCTGTTCGCCGCGGCCGAGTTTTCTGGTGAAACTCAAAGGCGAAGCGATGCGTGCGGCTTGGCTAACGCCAAGCAAGATACCGCATGTTTGACCGGAGAAGCAAGAATACGAACAGAAGCTTCAGGTTCGCTCTTGCAACATCCCATGGATTCTTGCAGTTGCGGCGAGTTTACAGCCATATATATACAACTCAAACATCGCTGTCTAAGTGTGCAGACATAATGCTGTCGCATTTATAGAGGTCGCGCGGATAGCTGTCCCCCGAGTATTTAAGAAGAAAAGTCGGCAAAGCGAGTTGCTGAGCCATTCTTATTTCGGCGCGAACTATGAGGAGCGACTGCACCCACATGTGCCGGTGACTATGCCACTACAGGAAGCCAGAATCATGGCACGTGTTTATTTAGCTGATGACGAGGTGTGTTTTCCAGTTATTAAGTAAGGATGTTTATCGTAATCCTAAGACGAACGTCCACGAGTGGAAGATTGTGATAGACACAAGTACTTTGCGAAACATTTTTTTGGATCGAGATTGTTCACACAATATAGGACTAGAACTTACATCCGCATATACGTTTATATGAGATGACGAAAAGGGAACACCTGAAAAAGGCATGCGCAATATAATCACAATAATATGGCAGATTTCAAGCAGTCTAAGTTTTGCGAGAAGAAAAACGGTTGCTCTTCCTATTTACAAATGGCCATCGTATAACTTCGACTTCATGAGAACAGTACTGAATAGGGAGACGATGACGAGAAAAGAATGGAGCTAACTATTTTCAACAACGAATGATCTAGGAGTTCCCGCGCTCACTGTGGAGGAAGCCTGTGCAACTACCTTTAGTAATAACAGTTCAGCCGATCCCACGAAGATACTTATGGAAATCTGTCATGTAGAGTAAAAGAGTTTACCACTGCACTTGAAAATACTGCTCTCACACTTCAACGTTACTGAACAGAAATGATGAGAGATTTTTATCAGTTTAGAAATACTCTACTTGGTAAAGAAGAGGAGACATAATCAGACGGTCCGCCTACCCTATAGTGGAAAAAAGATGATTTGGAAACAAATCCTGGCTGATGTGAGTCAATTCAAGACTTTTGTACGAGTCCCTTTCTAGATACACTACATTACCGGCGACAGCCTTGCCGTTGTCGCAATCGAAGTATTCCGTTTAAATGGTGGACTGCTACAGACCTCAGCAATTAATAGGCTATCTCTCGTTCCGGTAGAGCTAGGATAATTCAGTACTTTAGTTTCGCATTGTCATGCGGTAAGAGTATGGAAAAATATGTAAATTATCGCATACGGAATAAGCAGTACCGAAGCACAAAAGGAGCGTTCACGCATTCAGTAAGACACTATGAGTACAAGCCAATCTGAAAAAGCTAGGGGATTTCCCGAATGTCCACCAAACTTCTTTGCTTTTTCCTTTTCCTTCAATTCTTTTCGCTTATACTGGCTTATACTCCGTATACTGATACTCGGGTAAGTAGATACCACATCGTCCTACTTTTAGAGTATGTAACTGTAGTGTAGCACTCACTGCCAAACATACAGGGGGGCCAAAAAAAAAAGACATTTTGCCTATGTCGGACTTCGGCTCTTTTTTCTTCGCAGAGATTGCTGTCGTTGACGGGAGTTCCTCAGCAGAGTATTCCCTAAGTGTTCCTCTATTAGTGTACGCAGGCTCTCCTTCACTGCCCTCACCGTCTTCAGAATATGACGTCATCTGTCACCGTCGTCAGGCTCAAGGAGGTCTACCGTAAGAGCTTCAGCCTGAAGCTCTTACGCAATTTCGTGAATCGATTTAATGTTGGATAGTTTTCTAGAGGCATTAGCTACCACTGTGCAAATCCCCTCGGAACTAGCTTTCCAGTAAGGGTCGTTATGGTACACGATCCTTCGAAGACCCCATTGAGATCGACCAGTGCACCATGTTTCCAGGGCTAATTCTTCTGATGCCGTCCACGTAGGTGGCCACCATAAAGATTTTCTTATAGAATGGAATGCGCTCTTTAATAATAAGTTGGACCATTCGGTCTGAATTGAGCAAATGTGCTTAAATCCATCTGGAAGTGGAGACAAAATGTCTTTTTTATTGCCCCCCATGTATATACAGTAGCGGTCAAAAGTCTTCGCCGAAATTGTTTTTCGACTGTAACTTTTTTCCGCTGAATCAAATCAATTCAAATTTTAATATGTTTTAGAGATATTCCTACTTCACTTAAACGGCATATTTGTTTCGGATTGAGAAAGAATTAAGAATGGAAAAAATCATTTCACTAGAAATTCTCGCGTATGAGCAAATTCCAAGTAGGTTTCAAATTACTCTAGCAAGCTTACAATTCAACAAAACAATCTTACGCATGATGAATAACACTGGGCAGGTCCAATACTTTGTTAATGATCTTCTGGGTTCGCTGAAATACTAACAAGGCCTAAGTAAGGAATCAGTCATTGAATGCACTGTCTACTAGGGCAGCTTCCTCCACTTCTCTTGAAATTTGACGAGTTTCTCGCCCATATTTCCGGCTCTTATTTCCACCAAAGGTATCCCTTCTTTCCCATAATGTTTCGATGGCGCTCGGGACATTGGTGTGAATTGTTCCCTTCGTTGAAAGCGCGCCATGCTGGCGAAGCCACTCCTTCACAGTGAAGGTGCGATGCTTTTGGTCGCACTAATGCTAGAAGGCGAGCTCAGTTTTGACCAACTGTCATACATGTGGATAAGAACTCCTTCTAGAACCCAACTGTATAGGCTGCCTTCACATGATTGCGAATACTGCGAAGTTAGTCGGCGGTGAAATGGTCGGGGGCGAAATGGGCTTACGCACACCTAAAGTGGGGATCCCCATAGGGCTACAACGTCCTGCGGACCAACGAGAGTGTATTCAAGATGTTTACCGGCGACTGAAATAGGAATGTGTGCGGTCCTGAGGGAAAACGTTTCGATCCAAGGAATTAACTGCCGTATGTAAAACTTGGCGGAGGCTCGCGTGTGGTAGTCCGTAAAAGAAGTTTTACAACTGCACAGGATTAGAGAAGTGGAGGATGCCGACGTATCAGATAGATTCTGGAAGGAGTTTCGTATCCGCTCGTATGAAACTGTACGTGACTGAGTTCGCCTTCTAGCTATAGAGCGACCAAAAGCATCGCACCTTCACTGTGAAGGATTGGTTTCGACAGCATGGCGCGCTTTCAACGAAGGGAACAATTCACACCAATGTCCCGAGCGCCATCGAAACATTATGGGAAAGAGTAGGGATACCTTTGGTGGAAATAAGAGCCGGGAAATATGGGCGAGAAACTCGTCAAATTTCAAGAGAAGTGGAGGAAGCTGCCCTAGTAGACAGTGCATTCAATGACTGATTCCTTACTTAGGCCTTGTTAGTATTTCAGCGCGTACCCAGAAGATCATTAACAAAGTATTGGACCTGCCCAGTGTTATTCATCATGCGTAAGATTGTTTTGTTGAATTGTAAGCTTGCTAGAGTAATTTGAAACCTACTTGGAATTTGCTCATACGCGAGAATTTCTAGTGAAATGATTTTTTCCATTCTTAATTCTTTCTCAATCCGAAACAAATATGCCGTTTAAGTGAAGTAGGACTATCTCTAAAACATATTAAAATTTGAATTGATTTGATTCAGCGGAAAAAAAGTTACAGTCGAAAAACAATTTCGGCGAAGACTTTTGACCGCTACTGTATATATATATAATATATATATATATATATATATATATATATATATATATAATATGTTATATATATATATATTATATATATATATACATATGGTAGGCTTTCACGCCGGTCCTAAATCTCTCGCTCTTGCTATCGAACTGAAGCCTTGATTTTGTATTCACACATGAATCGGCGTACGCTATTTGGTACGACCCCCCTGTGTGTAGCTCAAAGTGGTGATTAAGATTACTTAAACAATAATAATCGTATAAATACAGAACTTCTTTAGACAAAAATGCTGAATTTCGGATCAAATTTCATAAAAGACGAGTTACCGTTCCGAAAAACAGCGTACGCATGGAATTTGGACATAAAGTCATTTGTGACGCGGACCTCATGGCTGAGGGCTAAAGGATTGACAGGTTTTGAATGTGGTGGATCGCGCCCTCGGTGACTGCAATGGGGCGCGTTTGTTGAATGGGAACAGGTGTCGAAAGGGGAAATTGAGAAGTAGAGGAATTTTTCCTTGTAAAATTTCAGGTTCCTCGGAAGACGGAGGGTGGATTCTGGATCACCGACGGTCATCCTTCTTAAGTAGAGCGGATTTGTTCTTAAACAATCTGAAATAATTAAGTTATTGAGCAAGAAATGAATTTGCACTACAATTTTCACCTTCCTCTTTTTAGGGCTATAACTTTCTTCATATTCGAGCTTTTGCGCCGGAGTTATTTGATTTAAAAAATTCAAATCATTCTCTCTCCAATCATGGCTGAAAAATTCATCGAAAGCTAATTTAGTAAAAATTTAGCACGTTGGAACTTTTTTCTGTGCAAATGCGACTTTTCAACCTTTAAACGACCATAACTTCCTTCAAACTCATTTATTTGGGAAGCTGAACCCGGTATGAGAAACTACAGGATTCAAGCTTTCTAAAAAGTGCCCAAACCGTTTCTGAAAAGTCAGTATTCAAAAATTAGTTCCCGTTGCTACATTTTAGGGGGGTTCGCGGAACTATTTTTCTGAAACCGCGACTTTTCAACCTTTAAACGACCATAACTTCCTTCAAACTCATTTATTTGGGAAGCTGAACACGGTATGAGAAACTACAGGATTCAAGCTTTCTAAAAAGTACCCAAACGTTTCTTGAAAAGTCAGTAGTTCAAAAATTAGTCCCGTTGCTACATTTTTTGGAG